ATATTCTCATCATTACTGATACTAGCTGAATCATTGTTCTCATTGTTCGTTTCATTGTGACAGTTGCATTCAAGTGGTGGATCAACAGTTTCAGATGATGGACCATCAGCTTCAAGCCCTTGGAATACCCTTGCCTCTATACAGGTATGAAGAATACCATGTATTTGTTTTTTTAGAGGAGGATTATGGTTCACAACTGTTCAAGGATGTTAATTATGTTATAAGTTTTTGTAATATAGTTTGAAACTGACTGAGAAAAATGACCATACAATTATTTTCAACAACCAGTCAAGGGATTGTGAAAAGATTGGTCAAACACATGATATGCACAATAGTCCATGATGGATTGAACAGATATTGCCTTAGCCTGGCTGGTCCACCATGCTCTATGCCTCTATCATGAATAGCAAGGAGGTTCAATGGAAGAGCTTTGTGTGCCTGATATATGTCTGATGCTAGAGGGAAACTGTAGCCATAGTCACTTGTTATGAGGGTCTGTATTTGCTGGATGATTTCTGTCAGGAGCATGTCCTCAGAGACAATGAGTTTGTGGAGCAATCCAAACTGTCAAAGCCAATCATTGAATGTTTCACACATGAACTGATAGAGAACACAATAAGAGTCTCCAAGGTTCTAGAAATAGTGTGTTAGTAGAGTACATTTTTGTTAATTACTCTAGTAGAACATACAAAGCTTGGATAAACCTTGACTAATAGGCAGATACTTGAACAACCATTACCAGACCAATCAATACAGTCTTTGATAACTGTGCAACAGACAACAGGAAGGCCATGTGTTGAAGAGGGAGCCCTTCTTGATCCACCTCTGTGTGTTCCACAGTGTGCTTGTAAGGTTGGACATGGAACTGTGCAACCTGCAGATAGTAGGCATGCATTGTTTACTGTACTAGTGTTGAGAGCAAGGCCAAACAATGGCTGGGCAGTAGACATCTGAATAGGAGACTGTACTTGAAGTCCTGGCAGAGCTGACAAGCCTACTGGTTGTGTGCTTGCTATGTGAATTTCAGAGTTGGTAGTGGCCTGTGAGAGGAGCAGTGTGTCAGAAAGATGTTGTATTGGCTGTGTTGAAGGGGGGACTAGTGTTCAACTAGGCCCTTCAATAGTGGGAACTCGAGTGCTCGAATAGTGGTGCAGGATAGGAGGCTCAGAGTCATGGTGCTCTGATGAAGGGATATTGGATCCTGTCTGAGGGGTTGCAGGAGGGCCAATGGGTGCAACAAGGTTGTTCTGCATAGCAAACTGTTGGAATTGCTGGAACAATTGAAACAACTGGTTTGTGTCTCCACCAGTATTGTTACTCATAGTGTCAATATAGAGACAAGCTAGTAGTGTAGTAAGAGGAATGAGGATGGGAAGTTGCTACAAGTCTCTGGTTGAGTATCATACCCTTTTATACAGAGGACAGTCAAATACACAGCTTTCTCAGATCTTACACTACAATTACATTGCTTGCCCCAGACAGGTAATATTTGAATTTGAGTTTCCTACTTGGGTATAAAGTTAGTATGTTACTGAGACAGACAGAATGTGTGCTCGTGTCAAGCACTTTCCTTGAGTCAAGATTAATCAGACACTGCAATATATTAAAATGAGTCACTGATGGATATACTTGACAGGAAGTGTGCTCCACTCCTTGCAAATTCCTTACAGATCCAACTTTTAAATTTGTTATACTTATGAATATATTCATTTAAGTCTAGAGGTGAGGAATGATTCAGAAGTGGAGGCAACTGTAGAGTGATGCAGTTGACTCACTCGTCACTCCACACAAGACTTGTAGCACATGATTTGGACAAAGTTTGATCTGATTGCTTCATCTAATCTAGGAGGAACTGGCACAGGATGGGTCTAACTATGGGACTGTGCTGTCGTTCTTTTTGTATTTTACATTGTAAGACATGTCTATAATAATAAATATCACTTGAGAAAGCTTATTGTACAGGATTGCATGCAAAATACAATTGAGAATGATCTATCTATGAAATTGTCCCCAGCATTGAAGTGCTGTCTGAGCCTAAGGAGTGCAAACAATACTGTGGTGTTGAGAGTACATGAATGATTGAAAAAATTAACAGGTAAGATCCACAAATAAATAGGCAGCTGGAGTGATATGAAGTAGAAGAGATTATGCTATAGAAGACATGAAGGAAGAAGTGGACAACAATGAAGAATGTAATAGCACTGTGTGCCTTTCCATTTAAACACAGCTTGTTACACACAACAGGAGAAGTATTGTAAGCATGCTCTGTAGGAAAATACATACCATGTTTCCTACCTTTGTTGCACTCCAAACACATACTATGTTTTCTACCTTTGTTGTGCTCTGTTATCAACCATGCACGAAGCTGACACCATTTTGAGAACCCTCCATCTACTAATGCATCCACTAACTTTGTGTCTGTGGTAGTCTGCCATTGTCCCACCTGAAGTTCTTCATTCCAGCAAGAGAGGAACCAAATATATGCCTGTCTCTCTATCAACCATATAATCAGTGACACCCAATCACCAACTTCGGAAATGCATACAGTTGCAAGTTCAGGCAGCAAATTGTGTAGCTCTCCCTATTGGACTGGTCATAAACAATCCTCAATACTTGGAATGCTGGGATTGTTAACAATGTGTGTTGCAGGTAAGGAAGTATAAACTTCAGCAGAACAAATTGGCCTTCGTGTGACTCCATCCCGAATGCACAGATTGTGGGGATATTGTGGGAATACCTCGAATGGCCCAATGAACAACCAATCCCAGTCAATAAATGATATGGGCTCAAGCATAACTTCATCCAAAACAATATTGCAACCTGCCCAGTCCCTGAGTACAAGACACACCAGTGCCTTTGCATCCAGCCTACAAGAGTGGATCATGTCTAACACCAATGATGATGACTCCAACATATCACACCAGTGTACACTGTCACAATCAACTGCCTCCTGAATACTTGCATCCTTCTTGTCAATAACAAGGTTATTGTCTGGTTGGCCCCATTGTTCCTCCATTGTATGGAATTCAGCATTGTACTGTTCTATCCAAAGCATGCACAGATCATCAACCAGGCCAACTTGATGGTCAACGTAGAGCCTTCTGGTTGTAGATTGCTTACACTGTATGAATGGACCAACAATGTATGCTTTGTCAGATGCCAAGTCTTGTTTGCCTTGAATAGTGTCCTCAGAGAACAGTAGACATCCATATGTTTGAAAAGGTAGGTTGTGAGCTAAGGCTGCATGATATTTCGTTAATGACCCCCAGACATCTAACCTGTGCTCGGGATTGAGTCCTTGCATTACACGATCCAGGGTAATACCTTGGATGAATTCCATGACTATGTATTCAGCACCCACAGGGTTGTGCAGATCATCATTCCATACATAAACAGCTGGAGTTGGTACTCCTAGACATAACTGCACAAATGCCATAGTTGCAACCTGGGACTGTATCAAGTCTGGTGTTTGTACTTCCGTAAAAGAAACCCGGGCAATAGTGTGCTGTTGTGTCAGACCACAGAATGTGACAAGGAAGGCTACATTGTAGGATCCGCAACTGTGGAGCTTGATAGTCAGAACACCTTTGGCATTAATCGCTTCAGCACAGGTATAGACAAGAGCTGCTGTGTTAATTCTGCCAAGGCCCCTCTCTCTAGTATTCTGGTCTGCATCTGCTAGCAGCTCTGCCTCTGACGGAATGTCTGCCAGATCCAATGCCACATCAGATACAATACCGAAAAGAGGGCTTAAAATAATACACACCATGCGAGAATTTTGCCCATGCATCTCCTACCACCTGTAGTGAAGTGGTGTACATAGACCACTGTTTCTCAGACGTTTGCTCCATCTCAAAGACCTGCAACACACTGTAATAAACACATAATAAGTCAGTTTGAAATTCGATTGGAGTAAAAATAAAAACGGGCAGATGACTAACTTACTTTGAAATACTAGCAGAGCTGCTTGTTAAGCTCTTTTCAGCTGGTGGAGTCAATTTTCTGCACACCACTTATCGAAAGTGATGTTCACAACTGAGATCTGCTTCGAAACACAAGTATAAGAAGTAGGCTGCGGCCACAACAGAAACACTGTCAGGTGTAGTAAAGGCATTGGACGATAACGATCTCCCTACCAAACTCCTTCGAGTTCCGAACAAGACCCGAAGAATGCTAGCAATGACCTTTGTAAGGGAAGGCAAGGGAGCCTCTGCCACTCGCGGTTCAAGAGGGAAACTGGTTGCACTTGAAGAAGGGAATGGGGGCAGGGATTGCAACACTGTGATGCTTCTTGTTTTATGTCACTGATTACATAACTCGGAAGCAAATGATATAAGGTCTGGATGGTCTCCTCTCAGATCTCAACTCAACTGAGCTTATCAGTCTAGTCTTATTGCCGGGTCATCATTATGTCTGAGTCAGCTGCTATTCTTGAAGACAATACTGCTCCCACTCTTTCCTCTATACTGTATACAGTCCAGAACCAATACTGACTCTCTAACACACATGCTGCCACTATTGGTCAACTTGCAGAGCTGATCCCCAACAATGACAACAAGCTTCCTCTCCCTACAGCACTTACGTCCTCTATGGCCAACGTCTCCCAGGTCAACAAAAAGGTTGCTGGAGCAACATACACTCTACAGGGTGGTCGAGTCGGTACAAATGGTTGCTGCAAATTTAGGATAACAACGTCCCACCCAGCCAAAGGGCCAGGTATCACCTATGTCTGGACTACCACAGCAGTACAAAACTGCAAACTAAGGGAGGAGCTCTTCTACCTTGCCACAAATACCTGTTTTCCAAGTGAATAAAAGGTTGAGTGTCATTCGCACACTATAGTTTGATAGAACTTACTGACTGGCAATTGACAGTGGCATAGTTTCATTAATTTCCAGACAATAGATATTGAGCTGTGTTAGCATATTTCATCACAAAGGTACCTATACATACTTTGTGCCAAAGTGAATTGTGCTGACGCAAAGGATTGATAGATTGTATTATACTAGATGTTGGGTCACACACGTGGAGGGATGCAGAGCATGGGTGTGCTGCGGAGCGCAGACTACTGCGAAGGATTCAGGGAGCATGTGTTGGAAGCCAGAATCGGTATGTAGGTCAACGGAGGACATGGAGCCTAGAAGAGAATTACAGTTAGACTATCTGAAGAATAAACATGTCGAAGATCCTAGCTTACAAGACTGCGTCGGGTGTGTATGAATCTATTCCATATATATGTCAGCTTGAAAGAAGAAAAAAACTTGCAGATAAGATAAGCAAATGCACTGACCCATCCAAGCGTGATCAAACCCCGCTTCTCCGTAAGGTCAAGCATAAGTTCCTCCTCATCCATATTGGACGTATCGCTCGTCCAATGCTGTTTCGTTCTAAGTAGGATCGTAACTACAAACTTGCGTCCCCGCTGCCTTCCAAGGAGTAGTCCACACGTCTCACGGTTCTTTGCAGTGTTTACAGCAGCGATAGAAAGGAAGCGCGGGAGCACCGCACGTGGAAAGCTGACTGTCCGCAGATCGCCCGAACCGCGTTCACGTCGTTCGGAGCTTGAGGAAGGAGATATGCGTGGCGGAGCTCCTGCGACTGTCGGCGTGACAAACAGAGCACTAGGAATAGGAAGGGGGTTTTGGTATGTTTGAGGCACATTGTATAACGTTCTGGTTTGGGGGATGTGGTGGCGTTCCAAGGGGACGCGCAGGTAAATGTGACCAAGAAGATGAAGGTTCACGCGGGCAATACATGTATGCTCGATTGTGCTGAAGATGGTCGCGTTCGGCTGGGGGAACCGGCTGCGAGGGCGGAGAGAGGTTGTTTTGGTAGAGATGTCTTGGTGGTGGTGCGTTTTCAAACAAGAGCGTCGTCTGTGGGAAATCGGGGGGCAGCTGTTGGAACATTGATTAAAGAGACGGTGTGTAACCCTATGTCCGTTTGGTCATGAGTTGCGGATACAAGACAGGGCTAAGGGCGGAGGAGCGGATGTTGTTATTATTTGAGGAAGCGGAGGCCTATAAATGTGTTCAGGAAATGGTATTCATACCAGACTTCAGATTGGTTATACGTACCCTCCGAAGGGTGCCACCATATATGAGGAAGATGCGTTCTTCCCTCCATGCTGACCTTGGCGACTTTCTTGTAGAGCTCGTCATCATGACCTTCTTCCGTCTCAGGGTCAGTAGAATCACCATCGTACCGCCTCATTGGACTTTCCAACGGCAATAAAAGGCGGTGTATCCAAAATACTATCAGATGCACTTCTAGTTGAAGAGTGCCCGGTTGATCGCTGTGGTGCCATTTGCGGCGCAATTGGTATGGAGACGAATCCGGAAGCAGCACTGTTATGCAACGCTCTTCGAACGGCACGAGCCTCTTCTTCGGCCTCCCGTTGCCTTCGTAAGATTCCCTCCTCTTCAACACGCGTTTGTTGCTGGGATCGGGCTCCGGAAGACCGCGGAAGTGATTCCTCTCGCCGTCGCCGTTCAGGTGCTGTATCTGGATACCATATTTGTCTTGAGTCTCTTTCTTCACGGTAGTGTTCATTTATACTAGATTTTCGAGATGGAGTACGGTCTCTTTGTATTCGGTCTGCATTAAATGCTCTCGGAGGAGCTGAAGAGCGGGGAGGAACACTGCCTCGCGATTGCGCGTTCTCCCAAGTATTGTGCCAATCAATCAGAGGAGGTTTAAGCAATCCCATTCTGTCGAGGACACCTTTGCCTTTCTATATCGTAATATTAGCCATAGTTTCCTATTGGGTGCAGAATGATCGTGGCGCGCACCATTATTAGCGTGTCCCTCTGTATTTGATCAAGTCTTGTGTGGCAGTCCCGGTGCGTCGGTATTTTGTTGAGAATGAGTGTAGCCGCACGCGCATATTCCACAAACGCATTTTCAAGGTCGCCGTGCAGGTCATGAACCTGACCAGCATGTCGAGCCCTTTCGGCTACCTTGAGCCAGAACTTGAAATCCTTGGAGGCATCCCAGTTGATCTCGGCGCGTTGAGCGAGCTCTTGTATAGATGCGGGCCGCTTCGGAGTCGGACTTGCTGCGGGTACCGATGTCGATGCGCGCGAGTATCCGCTTCCCACTGCAAACGACATGGTGGACGGGGACAAGGACGGAGAGTTAGGGTGTCGACTAGTGCGGCAAACCACTGTTTAACCACAGCACACTCCGTTTACACAAACAACCTGTGCGTCCTTATTAGGCAGTTAGGTCCCATGCTAAACTTCGGCTGCTGATCGCCTCTGCGGGATTGTAGACTCTGTGAAGGCAACGCCGTCTAACGTCCACTGCTCGTATCGCTGGCATTGACAGCATGGCGGTCGACGATACCCTCAAGCCGGCGCGCGTTCGCGGTCTTCTCTTCATTGCAGGAATCTTTCTGGTCCTTCTCCAAGCGGGTCTCTATGCAGGACACCGTCAAGCAGTTGCTCCGTTACAGAGCACAGTGCAAATCAAGCCCGGGTCGACTATTACCGAGCACCCAATTCCTAGGCTCATGACACAGGCAGAAGACAAGTTCAGAAACTTGTTAAAAAGGCAGAGCAAGACACTCTCTGAGGCAGTTGCAGAATACAGGAGGAGATACGGTCGCGACCCGCCGAAAGGCTTTGACGAGTGGTTTAAGTTCGCCATGGAAAAAGGCGTCAAAATTATTGACGACTACGATGCAATAACGGAGGATCTTCTTCCTTTTATGTCGCTTTCTGGTGAAGAGCTACGAAGAAAGGTCGACCAGGTGCGGTTCATTTAGTCACAACTACCGAAATTCTAACAATGCTTAGATTTTATTTATTTCAGGTCAGCCATCTACCGTCGATTGACATGGTCCGGTTATACAATGGAACAGTAAAGGCCATGAACATGCAACAAAACAGGTGGCAAGATGAAGAAGTCAGCAGTCGTGCGAATGGTTTTAGACGAATGATTGAGATGGAGACAGGGTACGTATCAGCTCTGGACTTTCCGGATAAAAAGCGGCAAAGCGCTCAATATCAAGCACTTACGTTTCTTTAGCTCCCGGACATGGATTTCCCAATAAATAGCAAGGCAGAAGGTCGAATCCTCATTCCTTGGGAACACAAGCAGTACCCCGAATTGAGCGTCCAGGATACTTCAGGTATACAGTCGTGGAGCCCCCTTCCGTTTCGCACAAATTAGGGTCTTACTGACGCCTCGTGTTAAGGTGGTATTGGTGCAGTAATTGGGGCTGACTTCACCGCGGACTAACGCGGCGACGGGAACGTGTGGGAATCCTGGAGACGCACTTGTCCCCGGTACTCGAAGGCTCGCAAACTATTCTCTTCTATCAAGACTTTGGCGCAAGCACCGCGGGCAGTAAACTTCCTAGGCTACGTTAATGGCAAGCCGCCAGCATCTGCTAGTGAAAATTTAACTTTTGCCGAGAGCGTCGACGACAAGTACGATTTTTGCGAAAATCCGTCGCAGCATTATCAACAAAGACATTTCTTCTCCGACTGGCGCACCATTTCTGTACTTTACCCAGTTTTTTCACCAGTAAAAACACAAGGATACGCGGATATCCGGATTCCCAGTCATTATTACCATCAGGCGACGCCACAATATACATACGGATGGGATACCATTAATTTGAAAGGCAAGGCAACTGACGACATGGGAAGTTTCATGGGATAACAAAAAGGACGTTATCTTCTGGAGAGGTGCGACGACCGGGGGCGGCAACTCGCCTTCCGGGTTTGCCGCACAGTATCAGCGTCACAGGTGAACATTATTTCCATCTGTCACTTCCAAAAATTAGGTTGACTCACGAAATTTTGCTAGGTTTGTGCGAATGACGAGTTCACACAGTGATGAAAATCGTACTGTCGTGTTCCCAGCTCCAGACGCGTCATCCTACATATCAGCATCTGTCCCTATCAAAAAGCTGAACGAAGAGCTTGTCTGAGAACTATCCTGGAGGCCGTGCAGCTTTACGCAAGGCCCACAGATTCGACAAGGCTGTCCCTCTCAGCGAGCATTGGAGGTACAAGTATCTCGTAGATGTCGACGGTATGGGCCACTCCGGGCGGTTCTTCTCCTTCCTTGCATCGGATAGTGTGGCTATAAAGGCCACTGTATATCAAGAGTACTTCTCTGACTGGTTGCAACCCTGGTGTGTGTCGTGCATTAGCTGCTGTAATCCCGTTGGTTGCCCTGCAGTCTGTCTGACCTACACATGTTTGCAAGGTTGCACTACATCCCCCTCTCGCAGACGTATGAGGAACTCTACAATATCTTTGCGTTCTTTTCAGGGCCAATGCAATCCATGCGAGAGGCATCAAACTCTTCGTTACCTGATTCGCGGGAACGTTATGATGATGGCCAACGCCGATTGCGGCGTATCGCCCGTGCGGGGAAGCACTGGAAGATTACGATCGGACGGCCAGTAGACATGGAAGGCAAGTTCTCTTTTATATCTTTTTTCTGCGTTAACCGAGCAATGTCTTTCCCCCGCGTTGCTCGGGAGTCGAGACCCAGTTTACTGATGACCCCTATTTGTGATCTTTCTGTCGCTAGTTTACATATATCGCCTGGCTCTAGAATGGGCGAGGCTGTGGGCACCAATTTACGTTTCGGCTGTGTGCCGCGGCAGATGACGGCTATTACACGTGTTCCCCGTGCGCTTTCTTCGCAAGCTCAGAGTTCAAAGAACGGGTTTCTCTGCGCCAGCTCATCGTCCTCTCGAGAGACCGAGTCGATCTGACTGAGCTTTGCGTCACTGCCGCGCAATCTCTCAGGATAATGAACAGCGGCCCGTGGTTCTCTCGGTATCAGATTCTGTGGAGTTTGCTCGAACAAGAAAGAACACTCGTTTCAGTCCTATCTGCTTCGCCGCGTTGCAACTGCATGGCGAGCTAGGGAATTATCCAAATCATTCAAACAAAGCTTACAAAACACACCAATCTGTCCTGTGATACCGGCTCGTGATTCACCATCTCCTCTCCGGGCCTTTTTTTATGTTCCGTTGTTCGTTTATAACACTGCGATTTCTGCGAGGTTATGCCCGAACACACGTGCTAGTGTGAATGAAGGCTACAAATCGCTCACTAGCTCAGTCATCCTTTGTACTCAACGGACGTAAGGTGTGCGTTTGGTACGCCCATCCGTCTACTCGTTACTTCTTATCTTCGTCCAACTCTAGACACTGACAACATTGAAAGCCTATCCAAGGTGGAATGTGCGATAAATCACCGAAAGATGTGAAGTTTACCCGTGCTGCTGAACAGGAGAGAGTCGTGCGCGGGCGAAGGACGCTCGAACAAGTGAGGAAAAAGCTAGCCGTGCGGCTGCAGAGGTGCTTGACGCAAAACGTGCTAAGGAAGCAGCCGAAATGCGGGTTCGTCGAAGCGAGAATGAACTCCAGGCCGCGAAAGACCAAATAGCTTTCCTCGAGCATCAGCTGGTGACAGTGCAAAAGTCTAAGAGCAAGTTAGAATCGGAACTCTCCACGCTGGCCGACGAGACCACGACACCCAACTCATTAGCCAAAGTCCGTCGTGAATATGAGTCTAGAATCTCGCAACTGCAGGACGACCTTGAGCAAGCGCAGGCCGCACAGTCCACCGCGAATCGCATCAAGGACCTTGTGGACCGTCAGCATGCAGAGATCCGCAAGCTTATACTTCAAGGCGCTCCCCATGACGACGCGTTTCGCTCTCGTCTTCTACAGGAGCTTCAGCAGACAGAGAAGGGACTATGCATGGAGTTTAGCAATCGTGCGCTGCAGTTCCGTGATCCAGGCAGTTCAGGTGTGCGGTCAGTCACCAGCACGCCTACGAAATCAACGAATAAGCCTCTCAATGGTATAATCCGTGGTATGAAGGAAGTACCTGAAGCTCCAAGGACGCCGGACCACCAAGTCGATCGCTTGAAGCAGCAAGTAACAGTGTTAGGACTCCAGATGGCTGCAAGCGAAAGGGTTCGACGACAGCTTGAGGCTTCTCTCAGGGACTTGACTGCCGAGCTTGAATCACTTGACGGGTCTAGGCAATCTCTCCAGTCATACAGGGCACGTATGGTAAAGGAGAATGCAAGGCTTGGGGAGCTATTGAACAACGAGGTTCAAGCCCGCCGCGCGAGTGAAGCAAACCATCTAGATGGTCTGCAGAGCATGTGGGACAAGTTCCAGAGTACCATGTCCGAAGAGCAAGGACTATAATCGGCTGGAAGAGGCTCGCCGTGCTTTGGTACGTGCTTACGGCCGCTCAAATTGATCATTACTATTTACGCTTGCTTGCTCACAGATTGTTCAACAAAGGAACGCTCAGACGGAACTGGAAGCACAGCGCCGTCAGAATCAAGAGCTCACTCAGATGAAGATGAAGCTGCAGTCTGAACTTACCAATCTTCAGGATAAAGTTGAACGCGAGAAGTTGGCGAGGAGTGAAGAAGCCAGTGGGTCGAAGTGTTTTCTATTTGTGTCCGTCATGCTCAAATGATTTGGCAGATACGAAACGCGGGTTACAGGGCGAATTGCTAGATGTGAAGGTGTCTTCAGCCGCGGCATCCATGAAGCACTCCGAGTTGGCCGAAGCTGTCAAAGCTTAACGTGCGAAGGCCGAAAACTATCTAACGTGGCTGAAGCAAAATGAAATAGAGCGGGCCAAGGCCTCGAATGGCGACGCTTTTGGTAGGTCGGCTTCTCCAACCTGCAATACACGTTCCTGATATAATTCCTGTAGCCCGTAAAGCACTTGAGGATTTAGAGACAGCTCATGCGCAAGCTCTCAAAGAACGCCAGGCAGCTGAAGAGCATGCCACCAAGGCAGAACGGAACCTTCGTGTTCTGTCCGCCAAGCTTGAACACGGCGATCACCAGCCTTCAGATATCGAGCTGGGTCGACAACATTTTGAGGAGGAGCTTCAAGAAGAGCGCGACCGTCATGCGGCTGATCTTGCTGAACGTGATTTCGCGATGAGTCAAACACAGATAACATATCAAAGTAAACTGTTTTCATATTCATAGCGTCGTTTTGAAGCCTATGACAACTCGCACCGTAAGCCAAGCTCGCGGAACTCAGCGATGGTGAGAGTGGGCATGATCTATGGCGATGAGCACTTTATTCAGGTCCCATCAGAGCTTCAATCTCAGCGTGAAAGTATGAGTCGGCTACGTGAGGAGGATCGTAAGCTGCACAGTGACTACGACGAATTGCAACTACGATACGACGACGAGGTGTACGGCGGCGGAGCGTGGAAGAATGAGAAAGAGAGGTTGGAGACAAAGATAACCGACCTAACGAATGCCTACGGGTCATCTACCGCAGCTCGGACTGAGCAGCAGTCGCAGATTGTAGCATTGCATTTGCAAGTCCGCGAACTTCGGGGAGTACCTGAAGATGCGGAAGCCGAGCGCGTTATGCTCCAGAAAGCGCGGCGCGCACTCCAGGCTCAGCTTGACGAAGAAAGTTGAATCATATCGACCCGGATAAAATGTCGGCTGAATCTAAGCTCCAGGATCTTCAACCGAAGAAACAGGATTTGGAACGTGCGCTGGAGGAGCATCAAGACCGCGGGGGTTCCGCCCCTTGAGCAATATCACCAACAAATGAAATCCTCTCAGCATGGACAAGACTATCGCAATACGGGTGGACACGCACCGCAGCATAATCGGCGTCGCAAGGACACTGGGCTTGACATGTTTACGTCGCCGGATCTGTCAGGGTGTGGTACGAAGACGGAGATTTCGGAGGCGGATATGGTCATGCCTCTTCCGGAAATTACAATGGAGGACTTTCTCAAGGACGAATGGGTATGCAATCACCCACCCGAAATGCTTTCTCAAGTTCATCAGGGGCTCTGATAGTCAGGGTACGCGCTTTCCACCGAATGCGGATCAGAGAGGTGGCTAAACCCAACAATTGGGCCCAGATGGCAAGCCGAAACCGTAAGTATTCGAACAGTCTCTTCGGAACATTAATTGAAATTTATCTCGACTGTCAGTGTACACAGGGCTGCTTGCGTGCGCTGTAAATATTTGAAGGTGCGATGCGAGTTTCAAACTGATCCTAACACGTGCCGTCGCTGTCTCAACAGTGGCCATGGATGCACTATACCGGGCAGAAAAAAGAGAAGGCATCCTCCGATAGTTTTAATCTCGGTCATTATGATGAGTTGAAACTTGATAGCATGTATCGCATAGGAAACGTGAGCAATCTCTGAACTGGATAAGGGACCAGGAACAGCAAATAGACAAACTCGAGGAACATCGACGTGCTTGCCTCAATGGTATATTATTTCTAGTATTTGTCAATGTCACATGTCTTACTGTCTATTTCAGAACCGCGCCTGTCACTATCTAATACTCCGCTTGGAGCGTCTGGTGCAGCACCAGGACTGGCCAAGCAGTGTTGTCTTTCGTTCCTGGATGTGTGCCCAGACCAGATCAGATGTACAGGCATGTTTTGAGCGCTCTCGGGACTCCATTCAATTAATCAGTACCCTTGTTGAGGGTGAGGAGGACATTGAGGAAGAAAGGGAAGATGACGATGGTGATGATGCTTAGAAGGTCGATGAGGAACAAAGCGAAGAGCAACAATGGAGAGAACCCGCTAGTGAGCACGACACAGGCACAGACGGTGTTCGTCTGCGACGTCGCGCTCGTCGTCCTTGAGCTCGCCATCGCATAGAACACTCGCGCATTGTCAACGCCACGATGTGCTCGCCGCACTGCCGTCATCGACATCGATTAACACGCTGTTGAGATGTGCACGCGTGACCTCTTTCCCCATCCTTCGATTTGGACGCATAGCATCCACCTTCTCCTTCCTCCTGTCATTGTCAGCGTCTCTTGACATGTCGAACCTTACGCCCCCGCAACCGCCTCCGACATGGCAACACAAGCCTGATGAGGTGCTCGAGCTGTCGAAGAAGACGATTGACCATACCAAGGAGGTATATGATAGGGTAGCGCTCTGGACGCTAAAGATTGCACATTTGATTCGGTGAGGCAAGCGTAGTGTATGTACATAGCACATATGCTAATGGGATACTTGATAATTAGGTGTATGGTGAACTTGCTACGGCAGAGGCTGAAATCCAGGTCCTCGATCCAGTTCACTTCTACTGGAGCGTCTCGACATCCAAGGAGCTCCGTAATGCATCAAATCAGACGGATACCCTCATCAGAAACTTCCTTGTGGAGTGCGAGATGCGTGTGGATGTATTCATTGCAAAGAAGAATGCGGACGCCAATATCGAATCCCAGGGTGTGAACCTCAGCGCAGAGGAACGTAGGCTTGGGGAGAAGATGAAACTAGACGGCAAACGCGCAGGTCTTGATCTCCCGGAAGGCAAACGGAAGGTTTTGGAGTTGAACCGACTTTGTGTGGGATTCAGTGTACGCCCGTCTTAATTTCTTCTGCTATCATATCTTAAAATCACTTCTATGTACGAACGGTTAATCATCAAAGAGAGGGGCATTTATTGATTCGATCTATTTTGCAGTTGGTGTATACAGAACCGGTCCCTTCTGGAGACGTATTGTTGACCGTCGAGGACCTAGACCGTAAGCACTTCCCAACTTGCACTTTTCGCGAACGATGCTGACACTTCTCAAGTCTTCTTGCTTGTCGGATACTCCAGAATATGCTATTTCTACAATAATCCAGACCACGCGGGAGCTAATGCAGATGCTGAGAGGATCTCGAATTTTGCGTTTGCGGTCATGACCCTCTGCTTATTCTTTGCAGGGGCAGGTGGAAACGGTGGATTTACCAGCACTGTTTATGCAAGCGCAAAGTCATGCCCTGATATGATGGTACATATTCCTGATTCTTTACATGTATCTTTACATGTATCTTTTCGTATTCTAATCGTTCTTCCAGAGGGCATCTGCGATGAGGCTGGTCATATCTGGTTTCGGTCTCTCGGCGTTCTTTTTCTCCGGCCTTGCGAGGATTCTATACCCAGATGATACGTCGTCGTTCCCATTGGTACTCGCTTTTGGCACGCCTTGTCCAATGATTCCGGGCCTTTTCTTCGTGCGGACGATACCCCTACCCTCTGACAGTGACGACTCTCCCGATTCGACTCCAACTCCGGTCCCCTGGTGACTGAGCATCAACGGGGTCTTCTACGATGGGTTTGCACACTCTGTTGGCGTTCACGGCGTATTTGCGGGGGACATTCTTGTTTTGAGCACCACAAAGACAGCCAAACGACGCTGCCTGCGACACATCGCCATGCTTACCATCATCAGCACCGTTCGAATCAGGACGACGAATATGCGCACCAGAACCTCGGTTCACCTGCCCCGCGTCGGCATTCTGTTGAGTACGCCGTACCTTCGCCGCCTGGTGGACAACGTCACCACTTATCACTACTCATATTCTTTCTTTGTCTCGAGCACTTTTCGATACGGCGGCAGGAGTCCAAATTTCCGTCAAGATTGATGATGTGCTGGACAGCGGAGACATCGCGCAGCAAATCACAGCCATTTTCCGACGCGTCCTCCCAGCCATCCGCATCGCATCTAAGTGACTGTTCTAAGTGACTGTTGACGAACGCTCATCAGTTGACCAAAGCAACAGCAGCTTTTTCGTCCCACGACTATTATAAAAACTCTATCAGGGCGTTTTGGAACGGGTGTGTATCTTTCCTGACGTCACTGAATGTCTCGTTTCCTCGCGCGAGGTTGCCTGAGTTGAAGAGCCCGCTCGATGAGGATGTGGAACTGAGTGGTTTCTCGCCAATCCAACGGAATTTGTTCGTTCGTCCGCCCTTGAAAGCCGACGAGCTGGCTTCTGAGGCTCGTGTGGCTCACCCTAATGAAGAATATCTTATGCGAATATCGGATATCCTGAAAAAGGCAGAACAGATTGCTACAATCGAGGTGAATTCTTTTCTGTCGAATATACACTGGATTTACTCTTGCTGATCTGATGGTGTAAAATTCGCCAATCTCATTCTCTAACAGCAAGTTCACACTGTCTGGGCAACCTTCTGCCGCTAATGAACCCGCACGAGTTGCAACACCTGTCGTTGCCGCGCCCAGGTCTCCATCAGAACCGATTCAGCCCACTCGGGATGATCCTGAGAATGGCGAGGATAATGACGATATAACGCAGACGTTGCGTACAGATGATGAGGTGCTCCGTGACACGTTCGATGAGGCTCTCAAGGGTGTAGCGGATGTTGGCAGTGACTTCGATGAAGAGGAAGTTGAGAAAATAGCTGCTGCTTTCTAGTCGAACTTTGCTGTACTTGTTGATAGTCAACGGTCATATATTTTGCGTCGCTTTATGTATTACTTTTCGTCAATCGCATGTCTTACCCGTGTAGGTGGGACTTCGCTTGTTTCCTTTCCGTAACAGGAAGTGAGGTAGACACGACACGCAGTGGGAGTGTGAACCTGCATACCCGAAGTAGTAAGTTGCTTACTTATGCTATTGTCCACGTCGCACACCGTACCACCTATCTACTTTGACATCTACCACCACACCATGGCTGACGACGACGGATTTCAGACGGTGACCTCCAAGAAACGCTATAGCGGTGGCAGAGGCGGCTACAGTTCACTGGCAGAACGCTTGGTCAATGCTTGCGCCCCCGATCTCTTTGTTGTTCCAGAGGGTCTTGCAGGCTTGGTCCGCGATAATCGTGCAGAGATTGAGAGCAAGCTTAGAGATTTGGGTGACGATCTTATTCCGGCATCTGCTACTCGCCGGGTCATGGTTCTGCTTGAGGCAATTGCAAGTTTGTCTGTCTCCCAGAGGGAGAGGGAGATTGTATGCGTGGCATTGTCAGTTCCCAACCCAGACCACTACATCATCTGGGTGACAGCAAATGGACCAAATAGCAAAATCGCTCCAATCATAGATCATCTGGACAGTCTGTTTGGATTGCTGAAGAACATCCGTAAACGCATCGTCTCCAAAGGCCAACTGCGCGATACGACTCCAGAGGAGGCAGACACCGAGGATTTTTTGGTGGGGCATATCTATCAACTCTGCTATACATTCTCGCGTGAGCGTTTGAAGAAACATATGGACAAGCCAAGAGCCAGGAAGATGCTTGTGGCTATCCGGAATCTAATTGCTTTCCCGAAGAACCATGGTCTTTCTGAGAATCAGCTTCAGTTTCTGAAGGGTCTGGATGATCTATTTCGCAAATACGAAGTCTACGAAAAGGGCCACGATGACCCACAGATGGTCCAGCTTTATGCTTTCGCGATGATAAAGCAATGTGCTATGGTCAATGCCTCTCAAAAGAGGTTGCCAAGACAGGATGTCTCCTGGCTAGACAACCTTCGTAAGTACCCGTCCCTTTCATCCTTTTCTTCTCTTCTCCTCCTATTCATTCCTATTGACTAACTGCTGTTTTATTTAAGTTGAACTAGCTGGCGGTGCAGATTCTGATGGAAAAATGTATCAACGGATGCTGGATAAGATGCTGACGTTGGACTCGAGCATTGAACGCCTTCTGCTTCTGCCTTCGTCAGGCTCATTTGGAAGGATACTCGATGAAGGTGTTACTCTCGAATTCCGGCCTGTTCCACGGGTTACTGCAAACCTGAATTACAACTTCGAAACAGACCACGAGCTTCAAAAGTTGATGAGCGATGGGAAACCAATACAGTTTTCGGACTTTGTTGCAAAGATGAAGACACTCAAGTCAAAGCCAAGTAACCTGCCTGTCATAAGCAAGAGCAATCCTCGTATTGACGTCCATGCAGAGTGTGTCATGGTCTCACATATTGATCAGTTGGAGGGTATGCGTACGTTTGGTTTTATATGCCCTTCAAAGTTATGTTGCCTTGGGTGTGCTATGGTTGTCAAAATGCGCAACTCGCTTGAAGGGGTTCCTGACTCGAAGAAGGTTTATGTACGAGGTACGCATTTCAAACAATACATGTGGGTGGCACCACCAGTTGGTATGCCTCGTCGGGACGAACTGTTGTCTCTCATAGAGGCAGAGATGAAGAACGTCTTCCGTAACCTCCGTCCTCATACAAAACAGCGTAGGACTTCTGAGAGCAGCGCTGCGTCACTCTCTGATCATAAGGTTAAAAAGAATTGGGACATTATCATTGACGAAATTAAGAAACTGTAAGTTGTTTCCTCTTTTCTAATGACCTGTATTGACTGTACTCTTAACAGGCCTCCTGTTCCTTCTCCAAATGTTTAAAACACAATATTACCAGCTTCTCTGTTTTGTTTAGTCTATGTTTTCTTTTGTAGTTGCTCTGATATGATCCTGTACTACTAGCTATGCCAAATCATATACATTGAATTTGATTGTACAATACTTAGTCTTAGTGTAAGTCTAATAACATTCTGTTGTAGAGTAATTTGCAGATTATTGTAGGTTTTTGTATGTTAAACATGATGTATCACAAAAATCATGTGATTTGTGTATTAAGTAAGCAGTTGCGAGTTGCAAGTTACAAGTTGTAAGTTACATGTTAAAAAGTTACATGTTAACT